CGTACCCACAACATTAACAACAATAATACCAATGACAATGATTATAATCTTAATACTAATCTACCAATCAATGATGATATTGACAACAATCATACCCACAACATTAACAACAATAATTCTAATAATGATAATGATAATCTTAATACTAATGATATTGATCTACCAATCAATGATGTTATTGACAACAATCGTACCCACAACATTAACATCAATAATACCAATGACAATGATTATAATCTTAATACTAATGATATTTATCTACCAATCAATGATGATATTGACAACAATCATACCCACAACATTAACAACAATAATTCTAATAATTTTAGCAATGATGACATTAATATAGAAGAAACTAATAATACTGATAATTTTCATTACAATAATAACATTGATAATAATATCAATATCAATAGTAATAGTGATAATAATAATGACAATAACATAAACGATAATAACAATAGTAATATTGCAATGAAAAGGATGAGATGGACAAATCAGGAGAAATTAATCCTAATTGACCATGTCTTTTCCACAGTAAGGATAGATTACAGTTTTGCAATGCAAAACTTGAGCAGAAGCAAAAATGCAGTGTACAATCAATGGCTTTTCTTAAAAGGAAACTGAGAAATCATATGGTCAATGAGTGAATTCTAATTAAAATTTTTTTTTATTAATACTCAGCATCTAATAAAAACTTAGTTACTATAGTATGTAATATTATTGTCTTCTTTGCCTCCACATCTTCCTTTTCCTGCTTTCCTTTAAAATTTTGTTTTTTTGATAGATTTTACAGTAGAGATAGCAGTACCCTTTTCTTTCTACATAAATTGCAGATTTCAGTTATTGTTTCATTAAATCATGAATTTAACTCTGTCCTTTTATCAAATGATTGTTTAAACCTTCCCACAGTTCTTTCAATCTTTTTTATCAACCATTTTGACAACTTTTTGGTTAATATTATCCAATGAAATAAAATTGCCAGTTTATCTTGATCATTGATAGCAGTTAATTTAAATCTAGGCATAATTATTTTTCATGTGACATTCACTTAAAACGTTGACATTATAAAATAATCTTCCATTCTTGTTTGCACTTGTTCTTGAGAATTTTTGTAAGAAATTTCACTTTTTAATCTTTTAGATATTGATTTTCAAGTAATTAGAAATGTCAAAATTTTTTGCTGTACATATTTAAGTATAGTTTCCAGAGCTTTTATAGCTTCCATATTAATGATCATCAGCTCAAGTTCATTTGTTTCATTTGTTTCATCGTCATCAACTTCACTTTGTCCTTTTACAATATTTACGATTTTAGCATATAAAGAAATAAAAGAAAATGACATATTTATGGTGTCATTGCCAAGAAATAGCTAATTGCGTGTCATTACTCTTATTAGCCCAAAATATAAAGATCATTGTTATCCGTAATATCGAGAAAAATTTATTATAAGTGTCGATCAATAAGTTGTTTTATTAATGATCGACAACACAAAGAAAATGATAAATAAAAACACATTTTTCAAAATGCTGCTAGTCAGTGAAAAAGAGAGATATTATTTCCAAATTTGAGTATGGAATAGTACAGTATATTTAGTTTATCAATACAGAGAGATTTTTGAAGGTAACAAACACCATTGATGAAAAATCACCATCAACATTTGTTATATTGTGATGGGTCTTATTATTGATTCCTTAGAAATTCGCCATGCAATAACATTTCAAAATGTATATTAGAATTACAGCAGATTATCTTCTGAATATAATTCTGGTTTTTTTTGTTTTTATTTCTTTTTTTTTTTTTTTTACGATGAGGTAATGTCATATAAATTTTATTAATTGTAAAACAATGAAAATACACGTGTTACACAAAAAAAGAATTGTTTGATCTTTTATTTTTTTTTAATATCAAGTAAATTTTCCCTTTCAGTATTCTGTGTACCATCCATAAAGCACATTAGATTTGTTGTTCTACTTATATTTATAAATACACCGAGCATGTACTTGATTAAAATTGTTTTAAATTATTTCTTTTCTTTCTTGTTTTTTGATTAACATTTTTCCTCGTTTTTCATCTTGATAGTTATTTCTTTCATCACACGTTTATTAGTAAATTAATAAAAAATACAATGAATTTTCAAAATAGTCAAGGTGATGATGTTCCTTCGCCAGATGCACCTAGTGTTCCTAGCGAAGCTCATGCTCATCATGATCATTTTCGTTCAAGCATTCTGATAGATATTTTATACGATAACAACAACAACAACAATATGTCTCGCCGGAATACAAACGGCGATAATTTGACAACAACAATATATCTCACCAGAATACAAATGGCGATAATTCGAACAACAATATGCTTTTTATAGCTGTTCAGCTTTTAACAACGGCAGCAACAGTCTCAAAAGAGACTGCGATAGCATTATTAATATTTAACTTAGTAGCTGTTGGCTTCTTAGTTATAATAAAAAGAAAGCTATTAGATAAATTTGAATGTCATAGTCTTAATAATAATTTATTTTCTTAATTTAATTTCTTTTTTGAAACAAAAGAAAAAATTTTTAAACAAATACTAGTCTCCAATGAATATCAAGAGCTTGGATCGTAGAATTAGATAATTTAAAATTGCTATTTAATTTATAATTCTTAATAAAGGTTTTTTATTTACACTTTTTTCTCTCTCAAAAATCTTTAAAAAGTTGTCATATACCAGCTTAAATACAATGAGAAGCTACACATTCTGACAATAATTCGTCATTGAAAATGAGAGGTAATGTCATTTATTTTTTCCCATCGACAATTTCCCAAATTGGCCTCAAAAATATTAAATTGGTTATGATTTACAAAAAAAATAACCAATGAAATTTATTATTAATTCGCGCTTTTAAGATTTTATTCTGGTTTTTTGTGTTTTTTAATATGGCGATTAATGTTACTGGAAGAAGCATTGAACGAACAGAAAAGGTATGTAAATAGTTTCGGATATATATTTGTTTATTTAATAAATATCATCTTCTAATCTTTCAAGAGAACTTTATGTGGAAACAGTCGGCGGGTAGAAAAATAATTTGGTTGTAGGTAAAGGCTAATTAATTTCTGGTAGTTTTGTTCAAAGTAGCAATTGGCAGTTAATAACCTATGTTAATAACTTAGTGCTAGATTGCATAGCAATTAGAGAATTTTATGCTGTGCATATATCACTACATCTTATAATGAACACTTTGGTCACTTACTTGATCCTTCTGCAAGAAAATTTGAGTCAAAAAATGCATTACCAAGCCTATGCTAAATGATAAATGATATTGAATAAATGTGTGCAGATGGATATTTAAAACCTTTTGCAATAAAATGGTGCATACAAGTTGCTCTCATTATAACGACAAGCAAAAAATATTAGTATAACGAGATTGCCATTATAACGGGAGTTCATATAAAGTCATGCGAAAATCATTATCATGTGATTTTATATTTTTATTTTTATTTATATTTAACTACAGTCAAAGCTCGTTATAGTGGATCTCGTTATAGTGGACACATAATAAAATCTCGTTATAGTGGATCTTTTTTGTTTCCAATGCTAATTAATTCCGCTCGATATAGTGGAAAACATAATAAAATTTCGTTATAGTGGAAAAAAAGAGAAAAATTACATATGGAACCAAGGGTCCACTATAACGAGCTTTGACTGTATTAAAATTTTGTTAAAACATAGCTCTAAATCTTTAATTAATTTCGACTAAATAAAATAAATAAACATTTAAACCCAAAATTATTCACTAATTAAACTAATATGTTAGTAAACCTATTTCACATAAACATAATAAAGAAATGGACTTTCGACAAAATGAACTTTCGATGAAATGATGAAATGATTGTCGATGAAGTGATTGTCGACGAAATGAACTTTCGATGAAACTAAATGATTGTCGACGAAATGAATCAGACCCTAAAAGACATGTTTAAACAAAACAGGTGCTAAAATATAATTTGTCATTGGATCGATCAACCACCTGTAAATTTTATTAAGATATTCATAGAAAAATTAATTATTTGGTCTTCCATCATTGTACTTTCAAGCAAAATGTCTCTAAAAGTGGATAAGAAGAAGAAAAAGGAAAATGTATATTTAATTTATGATCAAACCAACCAATAGATTCTTTGATGAAGTTGATAAATTACGAGATTCTAAGGAACAGATGGATAGATAAAATGTAAAACAGATTCTAGATAAAACTCTCGTGTGGTAATTTCACAAATATTTTGTTTTTATGTGATGAATGATTTTATTAAAGATCAATGTTGAAATAACCAATTCAACAATGGAGGAACGATTTACAGCAGACAGGCATCAAAGTACAATATTTGTCATCAGCTTGAACGAAATCTAGCAGGATGAAAAGATTACGATTACCAATAGCACCCATAATCTTCCTTAGCATTATTATCCCACTAATGAATTCCTCCAAAATGTAATACGACGTCCTATTTTACGGCGAATGTCTACATGTAGGTACTTGGTGTATATATATATTTGTGACTATGAAAGTTGAAGTATCAAATTTAGCTTCTGATGATGATTTTTTTTAATTTAACAAATGATCAGAAAAATTAACTCGTCGAACTATTAAAATATTAAATGAATCTGGAAAACCTATATAATTTTGATAAGAAACCACGTGAACAATTCACAAAAAATACTGTTAAAACGAAGGCAGTAAGAGGTAATTCATCATTAATGCAATGATTTGATATTCCTTTATAATCAGGAGCAGAAAGAGCCTCCAGGTCGGATTTTCATAATATTGATTGAATGTGATATTGTGAAAACCATCACAAATGCTAATGTGATACTATTTATTAAAATTTCACACCAAGTATATCGAAAGATGAGAAAAAAATATAAACTTCTGGTACATAACAAATCGAAATATTTATTTCATGGCAGATTAAATGTGCAAAAGCATACCTCTGGATGGTTGTATGTCAGTAAAAAGCCATTATTGAATATGGAAGCAATCAAGTGGAATTTTTTAAATTTGACATTCCTTCTTCATTACCAACTGCCTCCCCACAAACACATTTGATATTATCCTCCCTAGAGTTGACACCCGTAATGTAAAATAACTTAATTAATAGTGTTTACGTTTATCCTCATCATAAATTTATTTCTAATAATTTATGATAATAAACCTATTTATTTTTTAATTGTAAAAAAATAAAAAAACGTAATTTTTATTTTAATATTGCTTTGTCAATAATCCACTTTTAATTGAGTAACGATAACTCATAAAGTTCAAGCAAGACAAAGCTTTGATTTAACTATAGTTATAATTATGATTATTAAAGTTTAGAAGCAGGTCGTTTGTTATTAATATCAATGTTATTTTTATTAAAATCAATCAATCCCTCAATCCCAAATAAGCCTTCAACAAATTTCCATCCGAATTTTCGAAGATTTTCTCTTTCAATTTTATCGTCTTCTGATTCATTATCACACAATCCATTTGCTAAAAAAAAGCTTTCAGGTGGAATTGTTTTCCCCGTTTTATCTTTAATAACCAATTTTGATACACCGATAGTGACTATTTCATCAGTTTTAGTTATAATAAACGTGTGTAATAAAAAAAACCATTTCTCGTTCCATGTGAGTAATCTAGTCAACACTTTATAATTAACGAATGGTCCTATTTCTTTTTTATAATATGTATAAATAGCTAATAGTATATTATACGAGAGCATTCATCATCATTATTATAAGTTATTATTACATATAATATCATTTTATTATATTATTGTTATATATTTACCGGAAACTACAAATTTCTGTTCTTTTTTTACAACGTATTCTTCAAATTGTTCAATTGCAAACAAATTACGCGCATAATCCATCATTTTACTATAAGATCTATTTGATTAATAATTTAATTGATTAATTTATTTGTTAAATAAAAATCTCAAGTGAAGAGTATACGTACTGCTTACCCGTTATTCATATGAATATTTGAATCTAACTAAAGTAAACAATATTATTAAAATAATTGATAAAAACTTATAAAAATAGCCATCATCAAAGAGCCAAAAGGTGAGAGGTCAAAAGGTCAACATTCATTTAATTTACTATGTGTGTGTGTGTGTGTGTGTGTGTGTGTGTGTAATGTATATATACTTACATCATCAGGCCACACTGTATGCGTTTGTTCAACAATTCTCCATAAATTTTTCTTTTCCCTTCCTTTATTATTAATATACACACGATAATAAAGCCTAAACCATGGTGGTATATATCTTAATAAATATGCGAAAGGAAGCGATTTTGCATTTAATAATAATACTATTATCACTAAGGATTTAAATATTATTTGAAAATGGTTCATTTTATTATTGATAAAAATTTTTTTCAAAAAAAAAAAAAATTTGTTACACCACGTTCAACCATACAAATGTTTGTGAAATTCACATGGAATTAATATTGGGATTTCAAATGTTAGTCATTATCATTATCATTACTGCTGCTGATGCTCGAATCTCTTGACGCGTCAAGAGTTCTATAAATACTAAAATTAGTAATAATAATTAATAACTAGATTAATTGATTAATTTCCACCGTCTAATCCAACAACTTACTTGCAGGTAAATATAAGCCTTGTTATAATAATCATAACAATCAAAGAAAAATTCCATATAAAGAAATAGAACCAATTTATAACCGATATAAGTATTGTGGTGTTGTGATGCCATAATCCATAAACAAAACAAAATATTGTATAAGAAACATTCGTGCTTAGAAATGTTGATACTATAATTGATAACTGTTATATATATATAAGTTGGTTGAAATTAAATTGATTAAAAGCTGATAAAATTTTCAATGAACAAATAAATAAAAACAACATAAAATTTACATTTTTTGTGACTTTTCTAATTTTGATTAATTTCAAATTCAAATCTTCATTTTGACTGTTTTCCAATTCTTGGATATAATTGTTTAATTTGTTTTTCAAATTTATCCAAAATATAATTATTACAATAATAAAATAACTCGTCCAAAATCCCCATAATATATAGTGTGCTCTAAAGTAAAATATAGATTTTTCTATATCATAATTATCTTGTGCATAATATCCTGTCAGATATGCAAATGGTGTTAAGGTGACAAATGGTCCAATGATTTGTGTGAATCCAATAATATCAACAACCACTCCTTTATCAAAGAGCGTTTTAGTCCTTGTGTGTGCAATTAATTTGGGTGTTGAATATACTAATAATGAGAAGAATATCGCGATGATAAGAAGTGATGAATTGTAATGGTTGTTAATTAATGATACCTCCTATTGCCTACTTACCTGTGCTAATAGGTATTAATACCGCTACACCAAAACCTAAAGATCGAGGAACATCCTGGCCAACTGCACAGAAATATAAATATTCGGATAACAGACAATAAATATAAATACAAATATAAAAATAAACACAATAACACTCTTCTTCCTATCTTATCGTCAATCAATCAATTAAAATTTGGTCGATTTAAATCTAATCATTTCTTACTTTCGGCCAGAATAGTACTTGGATAAGCTTCAGAAAGTAGCAGTGCTATGTGTACGGTGTTAACTGCGAAATATCAATTGATTGGATAATTAATTGATCGATAGCAAAATTTAACTATATATAACTAACTGGTTTATTGTATGTCCGACTATGAAACATTCCAAAATTTCCAGATGGAAATTTGGAATGTCCAGACACGATTTAGCAAGTCTCATTTCATACAATAAGTAATGAATGTTAATCAATATACTTACGTAAAAAAAATACTATTACAAGTATATGGAAAGCATCTTGTGATCTAGGTCTTAAAATCCCATCATTTGTTTTGTATGGGAAAAATAATGTTTGTTTTTTGATAAATTTACGTGAATATAAAAAATAACAACTCATGAGAAACCCAGTTACTGTGACTGATAAAAGTACATAATTTATCGCGACGATTAAATTCTCTTCTTTACATCCATATAAATTTATACGAAAATCACAAACACATTTACCAACATTATAACATACTAATGTAAAATTATTATCAGTCATTATTTTTTTTTAAACAAATAACTTTTAAAAAAAAGGATTTATTATATATATATATGTTTGTGTTTGTGTGTGTGTGTGTTTTTATTTATTATTTATTATATAAATTATATTCCAAGGATTATAATTTTCATAAATTTCGCTGTTAAACGATCGACGCACATGAATTGATGTTTCGAACACGAGGTTTAATAACAATAATAACCAAATAATAAATTGATTGGTGAAGTGAATTTGCTAATCAATAATTTTGTGTTCCATTTTTTGATTGATATTAAATATTTATTATTTAGTTAAACTCTATTGCAATAATATTAACCAAAATGTGACATTAATATTCAAAATTTAAACTGGAAAATGAAAAATGCCATCGACTTTGAGCAAATACAAATATAAAGTATTGTTTGAACATAAGTGATGTACAATAGTAATAGAGTTTTACAAACAAATTACTGTTTATATAGATAGAAGATAACAATCAATAATTCAATATTGAATGTTGAATGTTGAATGTTTAATGTTTAATGTTTAATGTTGAGTGTTGAATGACATCAATGGATGAGCTGTGCATTGCAGATCAGATGAAATCATATATTTATGGTTCACAAATTACCCCTAAAATCTTTTACTAGTGATGTTAGCCGGTAGAAAAACCTTAACCGGCTAAGAACTTGAATAAATTTGGGTATGGAACACTTTAGCGACAATCAAAGTAAAGTCGAACTTGACATAGAAATGGTCTTGCGAGGAACACCATGACCCCACAGAAACCACAAGATCGTAATTGTGAAATACGGATTCAAACAGTATTAAATGACTGTAAAGGAGTAATGATATTGGCGCATGATGTTTCATGTGAGGAAAATATATTGACGCCTGATTTCATAGAAAACAAATTAATTTAGTTAATTTAATTATTATTATTATATACTGTTATTTTTTTTTAAAACAGAAGAATGCCAAAAGATCCGAAAAGAAAAATCGCATGTTTTAGAAAAAAAATATGATGAGTAAGTGTTATTTTTTTTTTAAAGTGGTGGTAGTTGCATGCAAGCACTATTGCTATTCTAGTCATAATAATAAAACAACATGTAAAAATATTTATTTTGAACATTCTAGTAATTCTTCTTCGTCCTCTTCATCTTCATTGAAAGTAAGTTTATCATGTTATTTCAAATGGATAAGACTGTTTGTTTTATTTTTAGTAAGTTTAGTTTCTGATTATAAAGTTTAAAACTTAAAGATTCTTAGGGAAAGTAGTGTTCTAAAACTCAGCGAAATATATAAAGTTGATGAATCTACCATAGCAAATATCTTAGAAAGGAATAATGATCTCTTAGATGATCTGGATGATTCATTTATAAATATAACAAAAGTCTTGGATAGCCACTTTGACGAAAATAATGAAATTTTAGATGATAATTATGATAATTACCTTGAATCACAAGACGGTGAATCATCATTTGAATATTATAATAATTTATCATCTACATCTGGTCTTGATAATGAACCATCGATTGTTGAACATTCTAAAGGTAAATAATAGATTTGAAACTCATTCTTTCTACAAAATTTATTTTATTACTATTAACAATAAAATACAATAAAGATGTGAAAAGTTTGAAAGTTGCTGGTGGAGTAAAAAAGGTATATTTTGTTATTATATTAATTCTCTTATTCTTTTGTTAAAGAGGTGTTTTTTATTTTATATATTAAAATAAAAACCTTTTATTTGTTTATTAATAGTCTTATTGCCACAAACCAGGAATTGTAGCCTTGCATGAAATCCGCTACTACCAGAAAAGCACCAACCTTTTGATCAGTAAATTATCTTTCAAACATCTTATTAATCAGATTGCTCAAAACCTTCAACCAGACACAAGTTTTCGATCATCTTCTATCCAGGATTTGCAAGAAAGGACTAGTGCTGTAATTTTTTATGGTGGTAGTAATCATAGTTGCGTCATATAAAAAGCGGTTGCAATTACCTTTGCAACCACTTTTACAGTCGATCTGTTGTCTTTTTTGTATTATGGCATTAGTCCTTAATATTATTGTTTTCTTTAAAATGAGAGATTATCTGTATTAATAAACCCTATTTTATTATTAATACTTAAAATAGATTTCAGAAGCATATCTTGTTAATTTATTAGAAGATGCTTGGTTGGCAGCAACTCATGCTAATTGTGTTACCATTCAACCTAAAGATATTGAACTTGTTTTACATCTTTGTGGAAGAAGATTTTAATTGACATGATTATTTGCATTTATTATAAAATTGCTGATAATATGGTTACCTTTATTTTTATTATATGTAAAATTCATAACTGTTGTTTTTACCACCAACTATAATTGTTAAATATTAATCAAAAAATTAAAAAGATCTGCTAACACTAATCACATGTTACTTGATAATTATGATAAGTCAATGGGTTATGTGAATTCAATATATAAAACATTTATAAAAACTTTACTTGTGCTAATATAACAAGCCATTGAGAAATTTTCTTAGGAATTCAAAAGTAGTTTAATTAGTAAAATTTTTATCAGTTTTAATTTTTATTTATTTAAATACACCTGCCCACAAAAAAGTATTTGGACAAAAGTATTTCTCAAAAGCTAATGAGGAAACATGATTTGTTTTAAGTAAAAATTCTCAATAGGTTTGATAAAATTTTTTTTTATTAATACTCAGCATCTAATAAAAACTTAGTTACTATAGTATGTAATATTATTGTCTTCTTTGCCTCCACATCTTCCTTTTCCTGCTTTCCTTTAAAATTTTGTTTTTTTGATAGATTTTACAGTAGAGATAGCAGTACCCTTTTCTTTCTACATAAATTGCAGATTTCAGTTATTGTTTCATTAAATCATGAATTTAACTCTGTCCTTTTATCAAATGATTGTTTAAACCTTCCCACAGTTCTTTCAATCTTTTTTATCAACCATTTTGACAACTTTTTGGTTAATATTATCCAATGAAATAAAATTGCCAGTTTATCTTGATCATTGATAGCAGTTAATTTAAATCTAGGCATAATTATTTTTCATGTGATCAGTTGAGGATTTTTATTTTCTCTTTTACCGTAAAGTCTGGAAAGATAGCATTCCCTTTTTACATACGTGTAACATTTTTTTTATATTGACGCTCAATTGTTTTAAAGTAGGGGGTGCTATCTTTCGGGGGGTGCTATCTTTCCAGACTTTACGGTATATCAATTATTGATATATATTTGCAGATCCACTTAAATTTGATTCTTTTCTGTCTACTTTGTTTGTCACAACAGAGCCAATTTTAAAACCTCTTCAATTTTAAAACAATTATTAAAAACCTACAAAGTGAACATAAAATTATATATATAGTGTTAACAAAAAACAATGAATATAATGGTTCTAATGAATATGAAGAGGCAATAAATTTTTTAGAAAAAGGTTGTAAATGTGGTTGCTCTTTGAGAATTCCCAAGGATGAATTTGCAGAATTAAGGGAGTCATTTCAAGCTCTTTCCAAGTCTGAACAAGATATATTTTTGATGGCCCAACTTAAGGCAATGGATGGTGGATCAATAAGCACTAGTAGACGCCTTAAAAAGAAAACCAGATCTAATAAAAGAACTTTCTACCATTGGGATCACAATACACTTCTTTGTCAAGAAACTTATCTCAATATGTTAGG